CTGCTATTGTATACAAGCCTGACATCGTAACAATAGCAGAACCCTTTTTTATGTTATGTAGAACCATTTTTTGCCCTGTGATGGACTGGCGACCTGTCCAGGGTGTATCCTGCCTTCTGCCCGATGACAGCTGGGATAGGCTCCAGCACCCCACCGTGACCCAGAAGGATAAGCAGTTTAGTTGATGTGTGTGTTTGAGAACCATTTTCAAATCAATCTGAAGAACCATTTCACCTTGCAAAGAACCATTTAAACAGGAAATGGTTCTGTAGAGAACTCATGGTTCTATGAAAGGCCCGTGGAACCATCTTTTGTAAGACTGTACAGTGAGGGGAAACAAACCTTTGTTTTTGTTACACTCTTAAAAAAGTTGGTTCTCCAAGGATTCTTCAGTAAAGAAAATGGTGCTATATAGAACCATGAACACTCAAAGAACCCTTTGCATGATTAAGGGGTTCTTTTCATGGTGAAATGGTTCTTCAAATTGATGGAAAAATGTGTTGTGTATGGTTCTGTATAGTACCAAAATCGGTTTAGCTGTTGTTATGATGTCAAGCTATGTAACAATGGAAGAACCCTTTTGGTGCTATAAAGAACCCTTCTCAAAATGGTTAACCATCTACAGCACATTCTCCATTAATCTGAAGAACCATTTAATCATGCAAATGGTTCTTTCAGTGTTCAAGGTTCTATTTAGAAACATTTTCTTTAGTGAAGAACCCTTGAAGAACCATCTTTTTTAAGTGTGTACTCCTTCATCAGGTCTTCCCTGTGTCCTCTCTGGTTTTGTTTATTTTTGATGTTCTGTGCACTGCTGTAACTGTACGCTTATTTAGGTTCCTGAAAAGCCCTTTATAAGTATTATTATTATTATTATTATTAGTAGTAGTAGTAGTAATAATAGTATTGCGAATAACTACAGCTGTGAGACGTCTATGGTAAGATGTCATTGGCTGTTTGCAGCATTGTGGTTTAATTACTCACAGTTTAAAAATCCTCCATAAATTCTCAGTGGGGTTCAAGTCAGGAGGTTGGCCAGGCCGTGCAGCACCTTCACCTTCCTTACGAACCCGTCTGGAGTTATTCTGGCTGTATATTTGAGGTTGTCTTGTTTAAACGGTTCAGATTCAGTTTCTTGGCTGATGAGATTAAATATGTTTATATTTTCGCTCCATTTGTGTTCCTTTAATGTCGTGTAACGCTCCAGTACCGTTTAAGCCGGGGTTACACTGCATGACTTTTACCCCGATTCTCAGTCTGGCCGAGTCTGTGCTGGTCGGCTCCAGTCTGCAGATTTTTGGGTCAGTCGGAGTCGACAGTTGGAGAGAGAGTCAAGTCGTGTGAGACAGACTCAGATTTTTGGCCTCCCGGTGGCGTTTCAGACCATTCATTCATTCATCATCATTAACCACTTAATCCAGATGGGGTCGCGGTATCAGTTGGGAGAGCAGAGAATCCCCCTGTCCTCCGCAACTTCCTCCAGCTCATTCTGGGGGACCCTGAGCTGCTCCCAGGCCAACTTGGAGATATAATCCCTCCAGCAGGTCCTAGGACGACCCCGGGGTCTCATCCCAGTCTGCCATGCCTGGTAAATCCCCACCGGGAGGCGTCCGGGGGGCATCCTGATCAGACACCCAAACCACCTCAACTGGCTCCTCTCAATGTGGAGGAGTAGCGGCTCTACTCTGAGCTCCTCCTGGATGACCGAGCTCCTCACATTGTGAGTAGAGTGTAGCCCACCACCCTGTGGAGAAAGCTCGTTCTGCCGCTTGTATCTGTGAACTCATTCCTTTGGTCATTACCCACAGCTCATGACCACAGGTGAGGGTGGGGATGTAGACCGACCAGTAAACAGAGAGCTTCGCCTTCTAGCTCAGCTCCCTCTTCACCACTACAGTCTGGTACAGTGACCGCATTACTGCTGCCGCCTGTCCCAGCCTGCGGCCCATCTCACCATCCCTCTGCCCATCACTCGAGAACAAGAGCCCGAGATACTTAAACTCCTCCACCTGGGCAGGTCCTCTGCCCTTACCTGGAGGGGGCATGCCATCCTTTTCTGGGCTTTTCAGACCAGTCAGAGTTTATCAAACGTCTGATTTTCACTCTGAGTGTAATCTAGTGTAAACTGGTCAATGTGGAGCAAAGCTTTTTAATGAACTTCTAAACTTTCACAACTAGAACACTATTTAGGGAGTACAGAGCCGTTTGGGGTTCAGTCTGGGTTTGACACGACTTCTGACTGAAATACGAACATTTGAAGAGTGTAAAACATTCAAGAGACATTTTTAGACTTTTATACTGCAGTTTTACAGTAAATCAGACTGTAACTGCTTTAATTCAAGCCTGTGATATTAACGATGGAGTTGTTTAGCTTGTTAGCTAGCTGACCAGCAGCTCAGCCAATCAGATTTTAGGATCGAAACTGTCAGTTTTATAATTAACAATAGATAAAACAAACATGTCTGAACGTCTAACTGTAACTCATCACTGTCTTATTTTACTTGTTAAGTTGTATTTTAAGAAGAGAGTGTAGTGTTATGATATTAAATCCATTTAAAATGCTATTTGAAACCTGCCTTCCTTCTTTACTTGTTTATTGTTTTGTCTTTTTGTTTGTTTTGTTACTAACAAGCATAATTTACATAATCTACATAATCCAAAAAACCTCAGTAATACTCGAGTAAAGATTAGATCTTCCAAAATAGTAAATAAAATTCCTTTTTTTGAAATAAAATTCTTTGATGTCACATGATGTAAACATTATTAAAGTTCTAAAACGTAGTGTTTCAAACACTAAGCTGCAAAAAAGCCTGTATTAAAATTAGTGCCTTTGTGATGTCACAAAAAAAAAACAACACATTTACATATATCCGCCTATTCAGCCTATAGCAGTTTAGCTCCGCCCACTCACAGTGAAGTTATAAGGAGTGTTTCAGCCCAGGCTGCCTTTTGATAGAGGCGCTGCCAATCAGAACACAGCTAATTTGCATACATCAGTCTTAAAGGGACAGTAACGAAACAGGCAGTTTAATTGTAAGGAATAAAAAAAGGTTGGAAAATGGACAAAACTGCCAACTTTTGGTAAATAAAATACTAGAAAAATGTAGGATACAGGCTCTTTAAGTACAGTAATGAAGTACAGTCTTTTCTGTGTATTGTTTTTCTGATTTGACAGCCAAACCACACACTCGTTATTCAGATAGCTGCTCAGTTTGCACAGCTAATCTGCGGTGATTTACAGGAACATTCCTGCTGGTATTAAAGGTGGAATGTGCTGGAAGCTTCATTGCAGGTTTGCCGCTATAACAACTGATTAAGGAACATAACATTAATATGCAAATAACAAAGAGCATGTACGGCTGGAAGGGAGAAGCCTCGCACCGATAGAACGCAGGGAAATTTTGTTATTTATTTTATAATTTTTTATAGAGGAGTAAGGAAATTAATCAAACAGAGAAAAATGAACTTTGTGATTGCGCGGGTGTACGACCCAAAGGCACGGCGAGCAAATGAAAAATCAACATTGTGCTGGCTGATAAGGCGAATTAATGAGGAGTGTGTTCTGTTCTGTCTACCTTCAATGCCACCGTGTGTGTGTGTGTGTGTGTGTGTGTGTGTGTGTGTGTGTGTGAGTGCGAGTTATCTGCAGACGTAACCTTAGGCTTTTGGATCACTTCCTGTTTTACTTCTGCAGCAAACACTCTGCTTTGTAGTCGCCCTCGCTTCACTGCATTTGTGGTAAAAAAAAAAAAAAATCAATCAGAAAACAATCAAACAAATCAAACCAGCACCGTTTTACCCACCATATAGCATTAAACCATTAGAGACCATTCAAATATTCATATCCATATCTAATATTTTATATTTTCTTCGGTCTGTGTGTTCTCTCAGCTCTCCCGAGCTCAAATCTGAAGACATTTCTCAAAGCGATTAAACCTTATACCAAAAACCTTTTATCTCTATCATAATTAATTATTTACTAATTTAAAGGGCCAGTAATATATTAAATGGCCATAGCAGCACATTGTGTTTGATCATACTGCAGCGCTGTATTGTGGCTGGCAGGTAAGCTGGTGGCACCATAAAGGCTCAGCTTTGGTTTGGTGCTCCTTTCTGAATGTTTTAGGCTAAAACATTAACATAAGTCGCTCTTTTCAGGCAGCTCATTTTTGCTGTATTGAAGAATGTAGTGCATCAAAACGCCACTGTATCATATTAGTCCAGATTATGAATATCATATGTGATAATGTACATGCAGTACAAGCCATAATGCTGCAAAAATCATGCTGTGATAGCATTAAACACATATGTCGTAGTTCTTTTCTGATAGGTATGAATATTGATCCAGCGCTTCATAAGCCTTTTTAACATAATTGCAGCTTGTTTATTATTATTTTCATCCATTTTTGGTAAAGAAAGAGAAAATAATGTTGAGAAGCACCATGTAGGAGTTCACTGTGGTATCAGAACACTTAGGATATTACAGCATCTGTAGTTCTTCTGCTGCAGTATCTGATCATTGTGCACTGTGTTGCTGTCCTTCACTGCAAAAATAGTATCTTCTCAAGTAAAATTGTCTTAAATATAGTGAATAAATCTAATATTTCTCCTGTTGAGATTGTTGTAAGCTTAATTTAAGATTATTTACCTTATTAGTAGAAATGTTTCACTTGTTTTAAGTGATTTAATCAAGTAAAATGATCTCACTATGTTGGCAGACAGTTTTGCTTGTAAGAAACGAGCTTGAAACCAGCTAAATGATCTGCCAGTATAGTGAGATAATTATACTTGATAAAATGACCTAAAACAAGTAAATAATATCTGGAAATGAGCTGGATAATCTTATAAAAAGTGCACAACCATCTCAGAATGGGAAATATTAGATATATTGACTAGATTTAAGATCATTTCACTGGACAAGATCCCATTTTTGCAGAGATGAGGGACAAGAAGTCTGTACTCCTGGTTTTCTGACGTTTTCTCCTCTGTTTTGCTGTCAGGAGCGTTTGGGAGCGTGCAGACAGAGTGTGAGGATGGAGTGTGTGAGGAGATCCTGAAGGAGGATGAACCACATGCGGAAGAAACACACACACCGTTCTCTTTAGACCCTCAGAACTTCAGTGGTAAAGACGAAGACTTTTCCAAGAAAGGTGAGTGAGCTGGTTTATATCATTAACCCCTGTGTGGTGTTCAGGTCTGTGGGACTCATTTTCAATGTTTACCAAAAGAAGAAATTATGTGATTTATTATTATTTCAGATTCTTGTTCTTTGCTCATTTTCTGTGAAGAACATATAAAATAACCCATTTTCAGTGTCTTCACTCTGTTCACCCCCCACACATTTATACTACACATGTGGTGTTGGGTGAACCTGCGGGGAGTAAAAGTGTGGAGGTGCTGTGTCCTTCACTCTGTTCTCCTCCTACATGGCCTGCTGTTAGTGTGTGTGTGTGTGTGTGTGTGTGTGAGGGTGGACAACATGGACAGGCTGCTGACTGGCTACAGCTGCTATTTTAAACATCTGGTATTTAAACAAACAATAATGCGGTGGGTCCACCAGACCACTGAGTACCAAACACATCCACACCAGCAGGGTTAAAGGGCCCATATTCTACATTTTTTGTAGGATGTAATTCATGTTTCCATTGTCCATCCTGTCTTTATCCTGTTGAATTAAACAGGCTGTTTGTGTTACTGTGCCTTTAAGACAAAATATCTCCTACACCAGGGGTCTTTAATTAAAGTTCAATAAGGTCCAGTTAGAGAAAATGTCCTCAAGCAAAGGTCCAGAACATCATAATGTCTAACTTGCATTATGACTCAGTGCCATATACTGTTTACTGAAGTAGCCTAGTAGGTATATCAACATCTTATACAGTCGACAACTGAATATCAAATCAAATAAAGTACAGTTCAGTCAAATTTCAACAACATTTATTATCAGTTTTCTCTTTTTAGATCACGGCGTGTGAAATAACCTCCCTCTGACTCACTTTCTTTTCCAACACCTCGTCCCTCCGCGGTGTGCGCATCACTCACTCGAGTCTCAGGGCTCATCGTAATGCACAGATCTGATTGGCTGAGTAGCTTTACGTGTGATATTTACAACGCATGCGATTGGTCTGTGAGTTTCCCGGGCCACTAAAGCGCTATCGTAATGATTAAAATAGTAAAGCAAAATTAAATAATTCTCTATCGTTTATCGGTTACAGGTCCAGGTCCGCATAGGACAGCGTCTGGGTCCGGACTCGGACCGTGGTCCGCCTGTTAGTGACCTCTGTCCTACACGGTTTAAAACTTAACAGGAGAGGGAAAAACCTTCTAAACTTGTAATGGAAGTTGATGTAAAAAGATTTCTATTAATTCGTTCATCATGAAATTTTAGCACAAAAGAATGAGTGGAGTTTTCAAATGAAAAACAAAAATGGAGATACAAGTGTTTTTTTTGCGTGACAGCAACAATATGTAAGTGAGCTCTGTTCTGATTGGCTGTACCTCATTCAAAAGGCAGTCTAGGCTGAAACACTCCTCATAGTTTAAGTATGAGTGGGCGGAGCTAAACAGCTGTAGGCTGAATAGGTGGATACACACCGATCAGGCATAACATTCTGACCACCTCCTTGTTTCTACGCTCATTGTCCATTTTATCAGCTCCACTTACTATATAGGTGCACTTTGTAGTTCTACAGTTACAGACTGTAGTCCATCTGTTTCTCTGATACTTTGTTAGCCCCCTTTACCCTGTTCTTCAGTGGTCAGGACCCCCATGGACCCTCACAGAGCAGGTACTGTTTGGGTGGTGGGTCATTCTCAGCACTGCAGTAACACTGACGTGGTGGTGGTGTGTTAGTGTGTGTTGCGCTGGTCTGAGTGGATCAGATACAGCAGTGCTGCTTCCCTAAATACTGACTTTTACAGACTGTCTGAAGAGTTAGAGATGGCACGATACCACTTTTTCTTTTCTGATACCGTGTTGGCGAACAGTGACACAATCTTTAATCTTTTAAATTAGCTGTTTACAGTCGTGTGCAAAAGTTTGAACACTAACACTCGCAGTCACATGACGTTTGTTGATTTTCTAAGTGACGGTAAGTTAACACATCCTCTACAGAGAACACACCTAAATATGTACATATTTTTCTGTAATTTTAGTGCACAATTTCAATTTATTTGCTGAGTTTAACATATTAGAAAAAATGAAAATAAAATATATAATGTGCCATAACTTTTTTTAGTGCCACATTTCATGTTTTAGATCATTTTATCCCTCAATATATTAAATTCAGATAAATAAACAGTGTGTGTGTATTAAAATGTGCAGAAGTGTGTCTCTGTAGAGGATGTGTAACTCAGAACATGTCAGTTAGACCAGGGGTGCCCAAACTTTTGCACACGCTGCGGGGTTGAAGCACTTCGCTTAAGATGACGATCACGCCGAAACCACTTAGTGACTCGATTACACTGCAAAAAAATGAGTGAAAACATAAATCTAGTCAAGCGTTCAGTGTTTCTCATTATGCGACTGCTGTAACTTATTTTTAGACTATTTTTATTTGTTTTAAGGCAGAGGCGTCAACCCCAACCACTACAAGGGAAATATTAAAAAATCTCAAAAAATTCATTGGCCAGCTGTGATTTTATTTCATTTTTACTTGCTTACATTTCGCTTGAACTGGTCATTGTTTATTAAAAAAAAAAGTACAAAAACTGCAACAGCAAATTAGGCACTGGATACTTGAGCTATTCAAAGATAATTTAAAATAAAATAAATTGTTTTATATCGCTGCTGTCGGAACAAAACCTCCAAAACGGTAACTTTACAGGAGAAGGAAAAAACCTACTTTACTTTTAATGTAAGTCAATGGAACCAGACATTTTTCTGGGTCATTTTGGGCGTTTCTTTTGGTCCATTCATCATGAAATTTCACACAATGTAAAGGACAACAGGCATTTTCAAATTATGTCAAAAACTGAAAAATGGAGATATGAGGTTTTCCTCCGACAGCAGTGATATGAAACAACGGGCCACATTAGCTACAGATAACCTTTAAACCTTTAAAAAAATCGGGTTTTAAAACCACCTGTTTGCTCGAACCAGACAGCAGGCACATGCATTTTGTAGCAGTGCATGCTGGGAATTGTAGTGCAGCTCATGGTGAAATGGGCTCATATTAATAGAAAATTATAGGGTTGTGCCACAGGCCTGACTCGACCCGTGGGCCTTGAGTTTCACACATGGGTTATAACCCTTTAATGTCCTCACCAAGAAAAAGGTAATGGATTTTTTTTTTCTTTTTTTTGAGCCCACAATTTTTAAAATATTCGTGTCTACCAAACGGTCGAGATGGCACTTTGTGGCCTGTATAGTGACTCAAAATGTGCTCTACCAGATGGTTGAGCAGAGGCATTTTATCGAGTGAAAGTGTCTTATTCCATTGGCGGTTGATCTTAAACAGCTCCATTCATTCTTGAAATAAGCAAAGTTACTTGCGAGTGGAATAAGACACTTTTACACTTTTAGTAAAAATAGTCTAGAATTAAGTTAAATTAGCTTATAAAATTCTTAGAACAATCTCAAAATGAGAAAAAGCAAATATTTAGATGATTTTACCAGCCAAGATGTCACGTTTTGCAGCTTTCTGGTCTTATAATGTTGCAAACTGACAAAGCAAACATGCTCACTTGTATGAAAAATGTAGAAAAAGCTAGAAATCCACAAACTTTTGATGAGCCGAGTGCAGAATCTCTCTGTTTCCAGCCAAACGTGAAACACGCTGTATAAAACTGTGATGAGTGAATAAACTCTGTTTTTCTGTTAAGCAGTGCTCTGACAGAATCAGCAGGCTTTTAAAGCCCCCCCTACCCTTTTTCTCGCACTGTGTGCTCCGAGTTGCTCCCCGTTTCGCTGGAAGGAACATGCGTTTTTTTTGGTCACGGCGAAATTCAATTTAAATACGAAAGGTAGGAGATTTGAGAGGAACGTGAAAGCCGTGCTATTTTAAAAGCAACATCCTATATATTACTAACAGGGTTATTGGTCATAGTAAACAATAACAGGGTCTCTGGCGCGTGTCCCCGGGGGTCCGTCCTGCGACCTGAGCTGAAAGCGTGGGCTCTTTGAACTGAAATTCAATTATACTGTGTTTCTCTTGGCCACACTGGAGGTCAAACCGCTGACGCCGAAGCCATCAGGCCCGCGGCCGTCTGCAGAGTTCTCCGGCGGTCTGAACGTTCTGCTTTTCTTCTTGGTAAATGATGAATCTCCTCTTTGAAATGGCTCTGCTTTCCTCTCTCCCCTCCTCTCCCTCACCTTCGGCGCCTTCAAAAGTTTGGGCCGGGTAAAAAAACGGGAGTGTAAATACGCTACCTGCTCTGCCTCGCAGCCAGGAATCTTCAAAAGAGCAATCTTCCGCTCTTTTTTGTCTCAAATTGGCGGAACGGCGCACGCTGTTCCCTCTTTTGTTCTTTCTGAAAAGGAATACAGCGCGCCCGCTCGGCGTGCTCATTCCAGATTGGAATTTATTTTGCTGTTTTTCCTCTACCTTTCCTCGTTTCTCCCCTCCGCTTTCGGCCCGCCTCGTTTTTGAAGTAAACTCTCCGAGGGTCTTTTTCCGCACCTTTTGAATATTCATCATCGTTTCCCCTTGATTTGATCGCGTAATTGCATTCTGAACCTTGTAATGGAAATGCCAGGAATAATATAAACCACTTTTTTTACCTGCCACCAATGACGTTCATAATTTATGGAGGACTTCACTCAGAGCCGTCATAGGAATGTTCAGAAGTGCAAAATACCTGATCTGGAAACAAACACTGGACGTAACACTGACCGGTCTTAAAGGAGTACTGCGAAAGTGGTCAACCTGATCTTTACCTGCTGCATCTGTAGCACAGAGTTAATTACCATCGACAGTAATCGCGACACATTTCCCTGAACTTAGAAAAGAACAACATTTATTGACTCCAAGGACATTTGGAATAGAGCAGGGGCTGAAGTAACTGCCCACTGGCTTCTATTATAAGCAATTATTACAAGCGTAATAAAGTAACTGCCCACTGGCTTCTATTATAAGCAGTTATTACAAGCATAATAAAGTAACTGCCCATTGGCTTCTATTATAAGCAATTATTACAAGCGTAATAAAGTAAC